GGTCAGGAGTTCGAAACCAGCCTGAGCAAGAGTGAGACCCCGTCTCTACTATAAATAGAAAGAAATTAATTGGCCAACTAATATATATAGAAAAAATTAGCCGGGCATGGTGGCGCATGCCTGTAGTCCTAGCTACTTGGGAGGCTGAGGCAGAAGGATCGCTTGAGCCCAGGAGTTTGAGGTTGCTGTGAGCTAGGCTGATGCCATGGCACTCACTCTAGCCTGGGTAACAAAGTGAGACTCTGTCTCAAAACAAAACAAAACAAACAAAAAAACCCATTTTTTTTGTCTTTTCCAGGCCTTTGCCTTTGTTACAGAAAGAGTTAGGTTGCTGAGATGCTAAGTTTGAGATACCTGCTCAATGACCAAATGGAGATGTCAAACAGACAGCTGGATTTGGAAGCTGTAGTGGAAGGCACGTCAGGGATGAGATGGTAATTTGGGAGTCACAGTGTATAAATGGTAGAGAAAGTCACAGGGCTGGAGGTCACTTAGGGCATGCACATGCCTAGAGACAGCGTCCAATACGTAAGCGGGGAGCACTCCACTGCGAGAGAACTTGAAGGTGAGAAGAATTCAGCCAACACTACAAAGGGAAGGCCCAGGAGGTCACAGGTAATGAGGAGATTGCAACCAGGAGAGAAAAGGGTTTCTGCAGGAAGGCAGGAAGGTGTGATCAGCTGTGGCAATTGCAATCAACTTGGATGAGGACTGTGATCAATTGAACATTGGATTTGGCAACATGTGTTTTTCAAAGGACGTCAAAGGCTGATTGGGAAGAAAATAGGAGGAGAGAAAGTGGAGGCAGTAAGGAGTCAGTTCTTGAACTCTGTGAATCGAAGTGTTAGACAGACAGCTAGGGACCTCTGGCCCCTCTTGGGGACAAGGTGGGTGACTACCACACCTGGAATACCTTATGAGTCTGCCAATCAGCCCACCAGCTGCAAAAGAAGGCAGTGCACTCTCTAGCCCCTGGGTCAAGCTGCGTAGGTATAATAGAGTCTGGAAGGTGACTTAGGACAACCTAAGGCTAATTATTGTGTCATTAGCTTAAATCTACATTGTGGTTCACTCCCCAAAATGGGCTTTCAAAGAGGCTCGTGGGAGATCCACATGCGCAATAAGACTCAGGTCATATAACTCCCAACTGTCCATCATAGTGGTTCCATGATGACATCTGAACCACGGGAAGGTCCCTATCTGGACACTCTAAAACGAGAGCCAGACCATAACCTAGGTCTCTTTTGTTATGGCAAGGGGTTCTGTCGTGATCTGTAGCATAAGTATCTTGCTCTGTAAATCTATATCTTACCCTTGCTCTATAATCCTATCTTGCTCCCCCTTAATAAATTTCACCTTGTGCTTGCCTTACATTGGTGTGTTTGGTCATTCTTTGGCCAAAATACATCAAGAACTGAGAACAGGCTGGGCACGGTGGCTCATGCCTGTAATCCTAGCACTTGGGGAGGCCAAGGCCGAGGCGAGCAGATCACTCAAGATCAAGAATTCAAAACCAGCCTGAGCAAGAGCAAGACCCTGTCTCTACTAAAAATAGAAAGAAATTAATTGGACAACTAAAAATATAAATAGAAAATTAGCTGGGCATAGTGGCACATGCCTGTAGTCCCAGCTACTCAGGAGGCTGAGGCAGGAGGATTGCTTGAGGCCAGGTGTTTGAGGTTGCTGTGAGCTAGGCTGACACCATGGCACTCTAGTCCAGTCAACAGAGTGAGACTCTGTCTCAAAAAAAAAAGAACTGAGAACACAGAATCAGACTGCCAAACCCGACAGAAGCAGAGAAATCAGGCAGAAACTGGAAGTGATGGGGGATCAAGGGAGGAATTTTTTGCAAATGGGAGATGTTGCAGCATGTTTGTTTGCTGATAGGAATAATTCAGTAGAACAGAAAGTGATGATGTAAGAGAGTCTAAGCAAATCCCAGAGCAAATAATACCATGTGTCAAAGCTCTTGGACCCCAGGGTGTGAGCTCCCCACTCTTCCCCATCTGCTTCACCCCTGGAGTGCAAAGAATTATTGTCAAGGGTCTAAGATCTAGAGCAGGTAGGTGGCCACAATAGACAATGCATGTACTCAAATGTCCCAATTTCTCTTGTAAATTATTACTTTATCATATCACAACATTTAGCAACAGGATTTTAGATTTCATTCTTGTTTATATTCTTCAATCTGTCCCTTTAAAAGCTCTGACTTGGGCAGTGCAAAGGCAATAGATGTAACCTAAAAGTTTGTACCACAGTAATATTCTGGAAAAAAAAAAAATCTACAATGGCAGGAAAAGGACTGCATTGGACCAGGGTTGGGGAACAACTCAGGTTTCAATAGCGACACCTAGTGGCAGTGAATCGCACTAGCTGAAAAGAATTGAATTCCTGAGTGAGCCACTTTTCCATTTTTTTCTCCCCTCAGCTGACAGTATCCGGGACTGACCGCCTTGTACTGAATAAACATCCCTAAAGGTTCTTGAAGTCATCTGAGGAGGGAGGTCACTGGAGAGAGGAGAAAACCATTTTCCTGGTGGGCTGGATGCAGACCCAGAGTCAAAATTTGAGTAATAAGGATGAACTGTTTAATCATCTTCAAATTTGCTTTTCTGATAATTTAGAGGGTTGGGTTCTCCCTGACCTGAATTTTCCAAGGAGTAAGTTGTGTTGTTATATATAATTATTTAGCTATGTAAACTCAGACAAGGATCAGAACAGACTGGCCAGTGGAGAATCTCACCTTATGGCTTTGAACAATAGAGAAAGAGCAGTAGTTGTTCGGTTCCAATGGTTTGAGTTGGTTTTTAATTTATAGCTTCTCCCAAGGCCCATAAGGAAGCACCACGGTCAATTTTAAAGGCACCTTTAAATTTCATCTTTTCTGACAATAGCTTGATGCTATCAAAAGTCCTCAAAAATCTATAATTCCCCAGATGCAATGACTCATACAATCCCATTAGTGTCAGGGACACTAATTCTCAGTATTTATTTTAAAAAATGAAAAGGATAAATTGCACAAATAGATGAAAACATCCAAAATAACAAAGGGAGAAACTCACACAGCTGAAAAAAAGTTTCTGCCCTTAATTATTAACCAAAATAATATTATAAAAAGTCTTTATACATATGGGAATATTACGGAATTAGAGGATAAATACAATTCACTGGTTGGACTTGCAAATCACTTTCCATGTTGGATTCTGATACAAATAAAACATGAAGCAAAATGCCAGTGACCATCTAGATTTGCCATTAGTTTGGATTTTCAAGTTCTTTGTGAAAACAGAATTCTTTCCATTGTCTGAACTCTACAGGACACTCCTCTGTGGGTTATCTGATCATGATATGTGGAGGCATTTTTGTGACTCTGTAAATTGTAGATGACTGATAGCATTGCAAAGTAATTCTTATCTATAGATGTGTAAATCATGTCCTGTCTAGTAGAGGTTCAGCTGGCTTCTTGCTTCCACAGAGGAAGAGGCCAGTTCTACTTCCATTTGCACACTCATTTCAATATTCCTGATCTGTAAATATGTCTGTTTCTCAACTTCTCCTTTAAACTGGTTGTAAGACCCTTACAGTTTCCTCATTAGTAATATCTTTAATGTACATTTTCATTTTTACAACTGTATTTATTTCATGATTCTACCCTATTTTGAAAATTATCTTTAGAACGTGGTCGTTTTTGAAATTATCAAAATAATTATTTTGAAAATGATCTTTTTGAAAATTTTTATTGTTTTGGTCTTTTTTTTAAGTTCTCACCTACTACTTCTATTTTATTATATTGCTTTATTATATTTTATATAGCTTTTAAGTTGCCTTAAACTTTCTGAAATAAGTTCAGGTATAAATGAATAAGTAATAAGTACTTAATAATGAAAATGTCCAGGTGATCTCTAAGGTTTTTTTCTTCCACTAATATTCTATAATAGTCTATGCATGTGGGAATAGGAATGTCAGAGTAAAGCTTCTTGTCTCATATACTTTTTTAAAAATTGTGGTAAAATATACATAAGATAAAATTTATCATTTTAATCCTTTTTAAGGTATATACTTTTTTAAAAGGTATGAAAGTTCCCTGAGAAAATACAATTGACTCAAGAAAAAGCTATGTCTCAGCCATGTCCCAAGTTTGGAATTTGATCTGCCTGGACATTAATTTGTCACTGGGTTCTCCATCAGCTAGCCCATTTTCACAGTTTGGAACAAAGTGCATTAATAACATACTCCACTTGATATGGAGAGCATGGATTACCCCTCTTCCTACTGTCACTGTTTGAAACCATATATCCTTGATTCAAATGAATTTTTGAAAAGGAAACTCAGTAATGAAATTCCTTGTAATTCCCATACTACCTGTGATAACCATTCAGCAGGCAAGAAAAACAAAGTAATCAAGTTAATACAGGAGACTCGTGATATGTGCTGACTTTGACAGTCTTTGATTTAGGAAGTTGGGGGAAAAGAGGCGGGGAGGAGACTAGTTTCAAATTGGCCAGGGTTTTTCATCATCTGTATAACTCAACACAGAAAAAAGTCTGAGTAGTTGTATAAGAGAGCTTAGAGAGGTTGCTTTCTTTTACAATCAAAAGGAATGAAAAGAATGCTTCCTTTTTATTTACTTACTATTTAAACACAAAGCTGCCCTAGCCAGGCTGGGGAGCTCAGCCACCTTGGGCTCTGACCTCCCTTGGAGGATAGACTAGGTCATCAATTTGTCAACACACCTGTAACCATTCACAGCAGGTGAGTGAAGAAACCCTATCTTGGTGATGCAGTGGGATTGATGAGAGTGGCTAGATTTATGGCATGCTATTTTCTTCCTCTCTTCCTATTCAACCATGAAGCCAATGCCACATATATTTGATCTTTCTTATGACAGTACCCTTTTTCATGCTATAAGATTTTAGACTATTAGAGTGGGTTCAACTACTATAATAAACAAAACCAAGATGTGACAGCTCAAATAAAATACAATTTTCTTTCTCTATCAGTCCAGCAGGGTATTCCAGGATGGAATGGTACTCTCCTCCACGTGGTGACTCAAGGACTCAGGTTCTTCCATCTGCCGGCTTCCCCAAGGGGTCCCTGTCAACAACTCAACCCCCTAAACTGTCTTCTGCACGGCACCAGAACTATCTCCTTAAAACATACTTTGATCATGACTCTTGCTCCTGAACTATACAGAATATTTAGCAGAGATTTCAGATAATATGAAGGCTATGTAATAATGTAGAGAAATGTCTATGATAAGAGAATAAGATTATGGGTGTTTTTTCTTTAAAATGTTTTTTTCCTTAATCAAATCAGAAAAAAAGGAAAATCAAAATTAGCAACAAAAGAAAGTGAGATTGTAAGAACACATTGAAACATCTTTTCAGCTTACATTCTTCAAAAGTTGTCTTCTTTACCCTGTAAGACATTATATAGCAAAGGGTCAATTTAAATCTCAGAATTACTGTGCACTTTCCCTATGCCTGGTGTCATATCTGGTGCTATGACACATGTAGAAGACAAGGTCCATCCCTCTGTGTGTGGGTCTTATAAGTGTTCAGATTGTTGAACAGCAGATTTCCACAGGTGACAGGTGATGAGTAGTCAGCGCTGAGAGAGTGTCTTTTTTTTTTTTTTTTTTTTAGAGACGGGTCCTGCTGTGTTGCTCAGGCTGGTCTCAAACTCCTAGCCTCAAGTGATCCTCCCACCTTGGCTTCCCAAAGTGCTGGGATTACAGGTGTGAGCCACCATACCTGGTCTGAGAAGGTGTCTTAGTCTGAATTTCCCCTAAAAGTAGAGCCTAAGGCAAAGGCTTGCAGGAAGATGGTTTCTCTTTGGAAGTGGTTCCAAATGGGAGAGGGAGGGACTGGGGAGAGTGAAGCATATTATCAAGATGACCACCACTTAGGGAACTGAGGCCAGGGCATCCTGCTGGGGACCTCGGGGGAGCTATGTGGCATGTGTCTCAGAATCATCTGCTGTAAAGATGAAGAGGACTGTATTTGTGCACCGCCCTCTCATTCTCTTGGGGTCAGGGTGGCTCCCTAAACTGTTAACTCCTTGGTGCCTCCAGGTCTGCCCAAGTGTCCGAATGGCAGAGTGGTCACCCCAGGTGGTATCAGAGAAGCCCAGCGCAGAAAGCAAAAGATACAAGCTCATACCTGCACGGCTTGCTGGAGCAATGGCTAGAGTACAGAGGTGAGACAAGAAGGTACGAGCGAGGCCTGGAGGTATATGATATGCGAGCTGGGAGAGGAGACACTACACGTGATTTGCCCGTAGCATCTCTTCTGCTCTGTGATAGCAGCTTCTCCTCCACCTTTCGAATGGAATAGTTCTCATTTCTCAGATGGTCTCCCTCAGTTACTGTCTTCTCCCTTCCCAAGACTTTTATTCTCTGGTATTCTAGAAGTTAAAATCTAGCCCTATAACTTTCTCTCCAAAAAGAGAATCTTTTTTTTTTTTTTTTTTTTTTGAGACAGAGTCTCACTTTGTTGCCCAGGCTAGAGTGAGTGCCGTGGCGTCAGCCTAGCTCACAGCAACCTCAAACTCCTGGGCTCAAGCAATCCTGCTGCCTCAGCCTCCTAAGTAGCTGGGACTCCAGGTATGCGCCACCATGCCCAGCTAATTTTTTCTATATGTATTAGTTGGCCAATTAATTTCTTTCTATTTATAGTAGAGACGAGGGTCTTGCTCTTGCTCAGGCTGGTTTCAAACTCCTGACCTCGAGCAATTTGCCCGCCTCGGCCTCCCAGAGTGCTAGGATTACAGGCGTGAGCCACTGCGACCGGCAGAAAAAGAGAATCCTTTTCTAGTACCTAGGTGGACATGTTTTTTAAATTTTATATCTGCCTCATTATGGGCTTGAGGCAAGAAAATGACCCCTGGGGAACAAATGAGGAGGAATAGGAGAAAGGAAAGTAATATAGAGCTGAGCAGCCATGAAGCAGAGAGTAGCGAGTCCCTGAAAGCTCTTGCATAGGGAACGAGTGATTAGCTGTGTGAACAAATCATTTTGCCTCCCTGGACCTTCATCTTCTCTCTCTAAAGTGAGTGGGTTGAACTATCTAATCTATAAAGACTGTCCTGAGCCTACAATTCTGTTTGCTGTAGAGGAAGGAGGTGATGAAGGAAGAGGAGCAATGTACAGGATGGATGACATGTGGACAACCCAGTGTCAGGAGGGCCTGATGAAGATTGTCCTAGGAGGTCAGGCCCCATGGGACAGGTGATTGAGAGACTGCTAGATGCAGAGTCCCATTGGACCCAGAGCCAGAAGATCCTGGCCCTGTACCTGGCTCATTGGACAGACACAGATAAGATGGGGGACTTTCCCCAAACAGAGAGAAAACAAAGAACATTCTCATTTGTGGAATCTGGGAAGGAAAAAACAATGTGGACAGGTTAGGAGAAGCAGCACCTAGGGAGAGAAGTAGGTCAGACATGCCAAGTGTGAAGGAGCCGAGGGAATGGCTATTGGACTGGGTGAGAGGAAATAATCATTTAGGAGATTTAGAGGTTGTTCAATCATTCACAACATTATGAGCTTCTCCTACTCATGAAGCATCAGTTAGATGTGTCACTTAAGTTGGCAGATGCGAAGGGTTTGGGCATAACAGAGGAAGAGGCGAGAGAAGGAATGTTAGGGACCACCCAAGGCTAGGGATTGGGATGAGAAGCGGGGAAGGGAGGGAACTCAGAGTGATTAAAGAAGCAGAGAGAAGAAAAGAGAAGCCAAGAGAGACGTTTAAAAATGGATGCCCACAGTGCCAAACCCACAGAGATTTTCAACAGGGCCCGAAAAATTTGATTTGAGGGAGCAGTTTTAGGAGGTGCCATTTTGAAGGCAGCCTTGTACTCCCTCTGCTAAAGTCTTTCCCAATATTTTATGTAAAATATGATGCTTTGTGAAAATAAAACATTTTACAACAGGCTATAGCACAGAGTGTCTTTTCTTTTTACTGGAGATTTTCATATCAAGGAGGAGAAATCTATGGCTAATAGAGGTAGACCTTACAAAATGAGACTATCAACCAAAATTTCTCTCAACGCAAAAATGACTAATGAAATGAATCTTGCTCCTCAAGAACCAACCATAATAACATTTTCTTTGCTGTTATTTTTTTAGTCATAATTTTTCCTTGGAGGTGAGCACAGCTGTGGCAAATAAAATTAACTAAGTGGAAAACTGAAACTGCCGTATAACCCTCAGCATCTATTTTATGATCTGCTGAAATGGGAGAAGCTTCGTCTTTCTGGGACAGACCTTTCATCATTGTTGTCATCCTTGTCATTATTATTTATGAAATGAGATTGAAGTTTCAGGATACCCTGAGACAGAGACTAGCCAAAAGGGGGCTAGGATCCCTTTCTTCCAGACAAAACACAGAACCAAACATTACCCTGACGTCATCTGCTCTGCTCCAGCCTGAAAGAGCCAGTCATAATTACCCAAGTAGCCCAGAGCACCAGAACCCTGGCATATGGGTGGACAAGGGGACGGGACTGTCTCCACTCCAGGCCACACTGAGCCTCTGTCAATGTGAACATTTGTTCCAAAAAGGGAAAGTGGTTTCTTTTTGTTGTTGATTTTTTGAGACAGAGTCTCACTCTGTTGCCCAGGCTAGAGTGAGTGCCGTGGCGTCAGCCTAGCTCACAGCAACCTCAAACTCCTGGGCTCAAGCAATCCTTCTGCCTCAGCCTCCCAAGTAGCTGGGACTACAGGCATGCACCACCATGCCCGGCTAATTTTTTCTAATATGTATAGTTGGCCAATTAATTTCTTTCTATTTATAGTAGAGACGGGGTCTCGCTCTTGCTCAGGCTGGTTTTGAACTCCTGACCTTGAGCAATCCGCCCGCCTCGGCCTCCCAAGAGCTAGGATTACAGGCGTGAGCCACAGCGCCCGGCCACGCAGCATGATATTTTTACAGATAAATTTTTCATAGGAAAGTTGCAAATATCACAAGTACACTCCTCTGTGTAACAATCTCATAGTCTGTGTTCTGAGAAGACACACAGATATTGGCAATACTTCCCTGGAGAAAATTAGATCATTCTGAAGAAACTTCTTATCTGATCTATAATATAATCTATATTATATGTGTATTACATAATAGTTCATATTAATATACTGAATTATATTTATTATATTTATACATTATTCATTGTAATTACATTTATATTTATAGATTATTCATTATAATTATATTTATTATATTTATTCATTATTCATTATAATTATATTTATGTTATTTACATTTAACATAAATAAGCATTTTCTGTTTATGTTATAATTATATGCATAATTATATAAATATAATAATCAGGACCTATAGTTGGTCAGCTGATCAAAATTTAAAAGGGAGAATCACTAAAATCAAACATATCTTCAAAATTTTATTTTATCATGTAACACATAAATGTACATTTACTTTGCCAACCGTTTGATGCAGAGCCAGAGCTTTTCCTTGACTGTCATCTGTTGCCTCATGTACTGTAATCTTTATAATGCATTATTTGTGATTTCTAGTTTTCTTTCTTGAAGTAGGAGCCAGGACTTAGAGATACCTTTAAAACAATCAGAACACAGAAAGCTTATAAATTTTTCCTGCTCACTCCAAAATTGTAGAGTCAATTTGACCAATCCTAATATATTTTTTAGTGACTCACTTTTATTACTGTAGGATGAAAATTCTCTTCCAAAGTCATTTTAAAAATTTGAATCTTGACAAGTGCTTCAACATGTTTGGGCTCCCATATGTCTTATCTCACTTAATGTTCACAGGTTTATAAAATGAGTGTAATTAGTCCCATTTAATAGATAAGAAAGCTTAGCCAGGTTAAGCAATTGCCCAAGGTTACACAACTAATAAGTAGCAGGTGGGCTTGGACGCTGGATCTTTTGCTCCAAGCTCAGAGGTTATTCTGTTACACCACTGCTGCCCCTCACAGCCACACAGCCTCTCTCTTCTTCCATCCACACGGCACTAGCATGGGGTTATCCATGAGCCAGGCACAGTGCTCTCTGCCAAGGACACTTCCCCATATCACTGTGGTAGATCATTGCCTGCCAAGGTTCCAGTGATGGGGAAACAGAGCAGAAGCGAACCAGCATTTCCCACTGACTCTTCAGGCCCAGGGCCTGGGGACCTGAGTCAGTGGCTCTGAGAACCACTACAGCCTTTCTCATGCTACCATGTTTTTTAGAGACTCTACTCATTACCTCTTCATCATCCACCCCATTCTTCGCTGAGAGTGTCACTTATAGTGCCCACCAAGACTCAAAGAGCTAAAAATAGAAATACTATTCGACCCAGCAATAGCATGATTAGGCATCTACCCAAAAGAGCATAAGACATTCTATTATAAAGACATCTGCACCCGAATGTTTATGGCAGCGCAATTCACTACTGCAAGTATGTGGAAACAACCCAAGTGTCCATCAATTCATGAGTGGATAATTAAAATTTGGTATATGTTTACAATGGAATATTACTCAATTCTAAGAAACGACATCAAGCTTATATTATCCTGGATTGAGCTTAAGGCCATTATCCAAAGTGAGGTGACACAAGATCAGAAGAATGGGCTCCACATGTA